AAGACCCTGGAGATCAGATGGAGTCTTTGCATCAAGCAACAAGAAGACCCTAGACATGAACATGACATAATTTCCTTAGGGATTATTAAAGCATTCTGATTCTGAATCTAGATCCTCTGGGTCTACTTTTCAATGGTTTTGAATGTGCAATAAAAGTAGTGGACCACCAAAAGAGTTCCAAAATGTTACTTTGTGTCATTAGTTTGAGTATATCACTTTTAAAAAGGGAAACTGTTTTAAAGAGTGTTGAATCTTTGCTTGTCCACATTTGTCAAATTCAGTTCAGATCAAGTCACAACAACAGTGGGCTCAAGACGTTTCATATAGTGAAGTATAACAGGGAGATAAACAATAGAGAGAAAACCCCAACAATTAAACGACTCTCTATGAGTGAATACTTGGCAACAGTGGGAAGAAAAAACTCCCTTTTAACAGGATGACACCTCCAACCTAACCTGGCTCAGGGAGGGGCAGCAATTAAGCCAACAATCTTTCATGTAGGCTTCCTAGCAGACCTAGAGATTTGTTGAGACTGACACCAACGCAAAATTTAACATCATCAAAGTAGCCACAAGAAAAAAAATAAACAGTCATCACATTGTTGTCCATCTAAGGCCACTTGAACACAGAACAAGATCCTACGCCCATCTGCGACGGCACTTGAGCCCCCTTTACAATCATAATTCCCAACCTTGAGGAGACAAGGCTGTTTTCCTCTCTTTCTCTACCTCACAACTCACTCCCTCGCTCTGCCAGGGCTTTTTCACTGAGGCCAGCATTTCGTTTGCCTCTTTCCTCCAAACACAAACCCAAAAGAAAGAAAGAGGGGTGGGAGAGGAGAAAATGAGAGAGAGAGACGGGGGGGGGTTTGAGTCGGGGTTTTCGGAATTTGGTCTATGTTTGGATTGGAAGCGAAGGCCCCAGCGCTGGGCTCTCAGGAGGATAATGGAAAAGAGGGAGAGAAGAAAGGGAGGTTTATGGCTGTGTATGTACCCTCACAGGTGGTCGGCACATACTGACGGGTCCGGGGGGGGGGGGCTTTTGTGTGTCAAAATGTGTGTGTGTGTGTGTTTACGTGGGGTTGCCGAATTGTGTCCGCCTGTTGGCACAAAAGTAACGGCATGTGTGCTCAAAGCATGTATGCTCAAAGATACATGTGTGTATCTTTGCAGATGTTGGCACAAACGCATGTGCGCTTTAGCTTGTAAGAATCAGAGAAGAGAGACGTAGAGAGGAGGTGAATAAGACATTCCTTAGATGCAGAGGAGTGGGGGGGATGCAGGGAGCCAGTGGTTAGTTAGTGGTTTGAAACTAAGAGGAGAAAAATGAACGTCTCGTCCAGGGCTAGGCCTGAAAATGCTACCGCAAACCAACCAACAAGCCAAGTGGGAGAGGAAAGGAGACCGGAGCACAGAAGAGGAGAAGGGGAAAAAAGCAAAGGATATGAAGAGAACCAGTGAGGCCTCCTCTTCCTCCTCTTCCCATATGAGGCCTGCTAACTCCTGCCTGTGCCGCAGGGGAGAAAGAAAGGGAGTGGTGCTTTTATAGCTGGACTGAACCGACTGAACCCATCATGTACAGCAGGGAAAGTATGGAGACAACAGAGGCCTGAGGCCAGCAACCACGCAGGGGGCTTCAGATGGTTTCAGGTTGAGGGCCACAGGAGGGCTGGAGGTCCAAGGAAGAGAGGGATGGAGGAGTAAGAGAGAACCCCTCCAAATCTCCCTCGAGTCCCTTTTCAGTGATACATCAACAGTTTTGGTTGTTCTTTCTTTTACCTGTTGCTTCTTTTATTCACCTTTGTCCTTCTTTTCTTTCTTTGACTATTTTTCCATCTCTTTTCCTTGTTTTCTTTCTTATTTCCTCCACCCTCATCTTCATTCTTTGGTTATTCCTGCCGCATGTCTGCTCCATTTTCATTTTCATTCCTGTTTGCCTTTATTTTTGTTCCCTTCATTTTGTAACATTTCTTTCGTCTTTCTTTTTTATCCCGTCTTTCTGGCCTTGGATTGCTTCCTTTCCCAAACTGTTTTTTTTTTTTCTTGGCTCATCACTGGACTACTCCACTTATTAAATAACTCATTCAGTCAGTCTCTTTTTTTGGCTAAATTGCTTTCTTCCTTCATTCCTTTTGTCTTTTTTTTTTTGCTGCACTTTTTTTGTATTGCACACTCCCTTTCTTATGTTTTATTCCTTTTCTTTTCTTCTGACTACCGTCCTATCACATCTGCTCCCATTGTTTTCCATTCACTGTCCATCATCTTTGTTTCCCTTGTTTTCCCTGCCATCCTTTCATTCTTGCATTGATTTCCTCCTTTTTTAGTCCACATCAGATTATTTATTTTTCACTTTATTCACTTCTTCCATTTCATCTTCTGCCATCCTTTTCCTCCCCGTGGCTCTGTTTGCCCTGAAACTTTAATTTTTGCCCATACAGTTTAGTCATTTTGTGTATTTTCTTATAATTGATTAGTGTTGTGAACTGTGATCCTTTGTTTCTTTTTTCACTAACTTTGTTTCTACTTTTTTGTACTTTCTGGTCTTTCTTCCTTATTTTATCATTCCTTCCTAACTCTTATCTCCCTATTCTATTTGTTTCTTTCTTTCTCCCTTATTTAACAATTTACTTAAAACTTGTACACACAACCCTGCAGGTGTCCATATGCATGAGCAATGTTCCCACCCTGTAGCAGACTGAGTGGGTGGAAGACAGATGCACCCAACAACAACAGGAAAGGAGTTTTCTTGGCTCAGGGTCTTTTCTAAAATCCATCCATGTGCGTCTGCCCAACCTTTGGAGAGCAGCATGATGCAACAAGCCTGCAACACACGCAGTACTGCATGACATGAAAACCACAAAATCAGCAAAAACTTTCGCCCCGACCACCATGTAACATCAGTAAGGGATTTTTGTTGGTCTTATGCACCAGTGGCCACTCCCCAAACCCTAAACCAGGATTTCAGACCCCGGAGAATTGAAGTCTAAGTGCAAGAATGAAGTTGGGAAGTGTTTTTCTGATACAAACTTATGCAGCAAAGCACAGAGGAGCTATGCTTGGTGTGAGGAGAGTGGAAGTTTTGTGTGTGCTTTGTGTCCACCTTGCCACACTTATGGGTGTGTAGAGTTGGTGTATATGGGAGTATTTGTGTCCCTAAATATGGCAGCGTAGCTGTTTTAAATTTAAGCATTTGAGTCTAGCACAAGTTGGTAGTTTGTGGACAGAAAAGGTCTTACGGTAACAACAGAGAAGAGGTGGGGGGGAAGGAGGACTGGGCACAATTGTGGATCACCACAAAAAACGACAATAACGCCACTGTTACAATGCATGAAGCTAAAAATATGTCCCTTGTCAATGCATTTTCTCAGAGTATAGGCTTTCTGCTAATTTGGTTCAACTGCTTCCAGAGTGAAGACACTACATTAGGAAATTCCAGCCAATGTCAGTGTTCAAAATACCAGTCTGGGCAATACCAACAGTAATACTTGGTAATCGTGTAAAGAGTCTTTGAGCTCTTAATCAAATAATCTTTCAACATTTAGTCAGACCACATCTGATACAGGCAAGAGAGAGACACGGGAGATGAACACAGGCCACTGACACTGCTAAATGCCATCTAATTTTTAGATATGCCAATAAAAAGTCAATAGGGTCAATGCCAATATTTGGCTGACATGTTGTTACAACCCCACTTCAAACTTCATGCCCCACCTTGAAAGCACTTTACCCCACCTTTTTATTTGGGCGTGCTCGTATGGCACAAGCACAGTGGACACAGTACAAACTGGTTACAGGATGATGGCAATAACTGTAACACAGGCCAAATGATGTGGATGGTACATCGATGTGCAATGCTAGTCCAGTTAACTGTCACTCAGAAAGCAAAAAGAATTGTGGTGAAGAAATCAAATGTAATTGATTTTATGGGTTTTGTTTTGGGGTTTGTTTGTTTTTTTCTTGATTGATATTGGATTTCTTGAATTGATCGAGAAGTAGTTCTAGTGAAGCTGAGAAATTCTTAGTGATCTGACAGCCAAACAACGTCCACCCTAATTTTGTTGTTGTTGTTTGTTGATAAACTGTTTGTTCATAAAATGACAATGTGAAACAATATTGACCACAAACCTTTTCTTGCTAGATATTCCAACAAGGACATCCAGCTGAGTGTAAGGTATATCTCCAGTCTCAGCACAACTTTGCTTTTGGAAACTATTTTTCAACCAGACATCAAGGTAAAGGGGACAGCTGATGCTTTTTCATATGTAGCAATTATTTTACAGCTCGTTGAGCCCTAAAATTGTGATGTAACTTACCAATTTGTTACTAACCAATTCATTTGCACTCTTCTTTGTAAACAAGGAAATAATGCTGTTGTTTTCCTAGCTTGGACCACTGTCCTTCACATCAGTGTTTAATGTTTAAAATTCAACAAAACAACATTTCATCAAGTCCACAGAGTTTTGGTGACTGGTTATTTCTTTAACTTTTTTTTTCTCCAAGCAAAATACATTTCAGAAGAAAATCAGAGCTCCCAGACGAAACCCCTGAGGAGCTCCTGAGATTACCAGGAGTAGGAAGATCATATGTGGCTGTAAAGATTATTGTCATTAATATTAAATTAATCGTTTTAAGAAAAAATCATAAAATGTCATTTCAAAAACTCAAAGCAATATCTTTGAAAAGGTCAGAAAAAACAATATATATCCAGATTACAGACAAAGAAAACCACAGATGCTAAAGATTTCTAGTATTCTTATTGATTAGATTCATTAAAACCCCTAAAGACAACAGATGTCAACCAAATCAAATAGACCTGTATTAATACTGTAAATGTTTGTTTTTTTAATACTTGAATCATTACATGGCTCGTATATTTATACATAGCTAGTTAAATTCTGTAAGTGCTGCCACACTTATGGCCGCCACATATTGTAAATCAATATTAGGGAAACGTCAAGGGACTCTTAGATTTCTAGATACACAGACAAAGCTGAGATTTACCTTATAACAGCCTGTTAGTGAGGCAGATCTTCTCCCTGTAGTTTGCCTGAAGATGCTTCTTCAATGGTCGTACTGTGAGCTCAGAAATTCATCAAAATCAAGCGAGTTTGTCCGACGTGTCCTGTATCATCTTCATCAAAGTTATCGGTTTTCAATGGCTGCTCTCAAAATCAAAGAAATCTGCGTTGTTGAAAAGCAAATCCTCCCCTCGGGGGATCGTTCGGAAGGTAAATTATCTATTGCTAGTGGTCAGTTTTCACATATGTATTGGAAAACCTTGTCCTGGGAATATTTTTCTTCAAAATGACTATTATGTAAAAAAAAATTTAAATGAATAGGGATTTTTTTTTTAAAAAAATTGTGTGTCACTCAAATATACGAATGCAGGATACTCTGCGGCGTAAATGTCAAATCTGGCGTAAAATCAGGCTCTCCGAGAGGCGCATCGCTCAGTTGCGACGCTGGTCAACTGAGCTTCCAGCGGCGGAGAGGAGGGAAGAAGCTGTCTGGGAGGGAGAAAGGGAGAGGGGGGCGTGGAGAGACACTGTGACAGCATGAGCGAGAGACAGAGAGGGAGAGAGTCTGACATCCGAGGGAGCATTCCTCCTCCAGCTGTTGAATATCTGGACGTTTTCATTGCAGCGCTTCTTCATTTTTATTTTGTCATACTTTCCAGATCCAAATTGTTGCTACATATCATCCATCCGTTTCATGCTGATTTAAAAGTAGGGTGTAAGTGTGCGTGATTTTCAATATTTTTGCAATTACTGGGAATTAAATCGGGAATCAAAAGCGGTAATTATGCTACAAACCTTGAATTTCTAGATGTTGATTTTAAATTAAAGCACACACACTCACGACTGGTTGTGTGAGCCTCATGTGTTTGTTCTTGTAAATAAAAGATGGACATTTATTTGTGGTCCCGTTTTAAGGCTTTGACATTTGCCTTTGTGTTATTCTTTCTTTCTTTGAGCTTGAAGTGATCACTTAGACCAGAGGGCTGAGAGGCACAGCTGCCCCCTCATTAAAATGAAATCATAATCTTCTTGGATGACCTGTACCACAAAGCAGGTCATTTGATTTTTCATATAATTCTATTACAAATGCACCAAAAGACACAAACAGCAAAGCCACTGTGGTGAGGCCCACAAGAGGCTGAAATTGAAGGTGATGCTCAGCAAACAACAATCATCCACAGCAGCCTGTATTGGCACACTTGTCACTCGAATCCATTTATTTGTTTATTTTGCTATTTAGTTGCTTTCAAAGAATATCCGTCAAATTTTAAGATCATTCTGTTGTTTCAGTATGGCTGAAAACTTCCAGGAGGCTGCGACCCGTCACCATTGCGACATTTGCATTTTGCAGCTTTGTTTTGCATTTACTTTTCATTTCTTTTTTACTTCCACTTTCACTCACAGATAAGTTTTAGATTTCATTGTTGCACCGTGCATATGCACCAGTTACCTGTGAGTAGATTTCACTGCAGCTTTTTCATGCTCAGATAGTGAGACATGCAATATTGGTCTCAAGGACTGCACTGACATTAGAGCTTTACAATATTATCCTATACTTTTTAAACACTTTTCAAATTCATAACACAATTCTCCGAAACATTTGTCTGTAGCTCAAAACCAGGAAAACCAGAGAAATTAAGGGCAGCAAAGCTGACTGCTTTGGGAACTGCAGATAAAAAAAAACATTTTTTTGATTAACTTTTATTTCTTGTATTGAAATGGCTTTTGTTTGCTAATTTTCACATGAAAATATGATGAATACTTTGACCTTCCTCCCTGAAACTAAAACTGTGCAGGCGGGCTACATGTGTGCTGAATCTGAGAACTACAAAGTGGCTGCGTGTTTTTATCACTCCTCTTTCAGGGACATAAATCTCCTAAAACAGTTATATTGTCGTGACCCGGCTCTTTTTTTTTTCTTTTTTTTTTTTGAGGAAGAAGGTCTCCACAGTCTAATTCATCACTTTATAATGTAAACACTTTAAGGATCAGAGTAAGGGCCGTGGCCTCCAGGTCTCCAGGAAAATGATGTAGAGATGAATATACAACTCTCTCATTTTTTTTCAGTCCATTCCACTGGGGTGGAGGTAGGGAGGTAGAGTGGCCAGTTGGAGTGGCCACCAACCAGTTGGAAGGTTGGTGGTCTGATCTCAGCTCCTCCCTTGTGCTGAGGAATCGTTTAAGCAACAAATTGAACCCTGACTTCCCCTGTGCATCAGTCTTATCAGAGTATATGAATGGTAAATAGCCTGTATTTGTATAGCACTTTACTAGTCCCTAAGGACCCCAAAGCACTTTACACTACATTCAGTCATCCACCCATTCACACACTGGTGATGGCAAGCTACATTGTAGCCACAGCTCCCTTCGGGCGCACTGACAGAGGCGAGGCTGCCGGTCACTGGCGCCACTGGGCCCTCTGACCACCAGTAGGCAACGGGTGAAGTGTCTTGCCCAAGGACACAACGAACAAGACTGTCCGAGCCGGGGCTCGAACCGGCAACCTTCCGATTATGAGATGAACTGCCAACTCTTTAGCCACGATCGCCCCCCAGAATTGTTTTTAATTGAGTTGTTCTGATGTTTATGAGCCTTTTCTTGTCTCCCATACGTGTTTTATGTATGAAAAGAAAATTGTTAAAACGTTCGTCAGAGCCCAGGAAGAATAGCTACTGCTACTGCAGGAGCTAATGGGGAACTTGGTAAACTAAACTAAACCATTCTCTTTGCTTTTCATACTTATTACAAGGATGATGACAGTCACTTATCAGATGCACAAACCTGTTAGACATTATTAGCAGCAGCAGCAGCAGCAGTAGTAGTGGTAGTAAATGTCAGTTTTCAAAAATGTCCTTTTTTGATAATAAAATGTTAAAAATTAAAGTATTATGACATGACTACTCCAGCGAGTTTTAGCGAACAACTTTATTAGGTGACCAACATGTTTTAGTTTGTGGCCTTCATCAGGGTCATTGCAAAACATATATTTTTTTAAAAAACAGGAAATAGAAAAAATCCAAGTGGACCAATCACACATTCATCATACTTTATTCAAAAAAATAAAGTATGGTCGTTTCTGCAATCCAATCATGTACAGTATGGACTAAGAATAAAATAAATCTGTAAACACCTTAAAAGGTTGTTCTGTCAATCTATAGCAAACCCATTTCATAAATTACACGTCTTTTATAGTTATAGTTATTCATAGATGTGAGGAGATCCTGTGTGAACATTAGCAGGGATGTTTCTGAGACCCAAGCAAAACTATACAAAAAACCTCTCACGGAGATTCAGGAAAACACTACACCCTGCAGGGTCATTTTTTCCTCACACCAGCCTTTTTAGTGTTCAAAAGCTGTGCTGAAGTGTTTCTACATGCTATTGACAACGTGATACTTACATAGTAATAACAAATAACATGTAAGCATCTAAAAATGTTCTAAAATGTCCATATTTGATATTTCTTACAGCACTTTATATTTTCTTTTTCTCCAAGGCAAAAACCAGCAGCTTAGACAAATTTGATTCATTTGGTCAGAGAATTGAAGAAGTAGCACAGAAGTGAAGTGATGAGTAGTTTTTAAAATGCAAAATACAAACTCGCTGATGTGATGCTTGTCATGTTATGTTGTCTCTCTCTGTCTTGTAGTGTGATCACCTCCAGATCTCCATGAAAAAATATTCTTTGTGATACTTTCAATCCTGATATATGAATTGCAATAAATTAATCCTGTTTAATCATATTTACAATTATCACTTTTAGTGAAATATTCACTATTTCTCTTATATTATCATGTAATGATCCTTGTAGAAGAATAAAAAATTATAAAAAAAAGAAATACTAAATGTCAGCTACTTCAAAAGTACGTTTTTTGGAAATAAAACAATAAATGAAATTTACTTTATGGACCAGATGAGGAATCTGTGTATTAGGAAGACAATGATTGTTGTCATATCTAGTTATATGAAACAAGCCTGCCCTGACAGCCCTGATAAATTCATCATTAGTACTTAATAATGATAACTGGTTTTGGTGTAACACCTTTGGATTACTTCACACATCAAAAAACTAGACAGTTTAGTTTAATTTGGACAAAAGGATGATTAAATATTATCATAATTACTAATACTGTATTATATGATATATTACACTTTGATGCGATGGCTTGCAAGATATCAGAGTAGGACCGAAGCAACTCTAGTATGCAAAGTTTTAAACAGGAAGTAGCTGTGGATGCGACATCACTGATCAGCAGTAATAAGTTATAAGTAATAAGGCTAAAATATTACTTCAGTATATTAATTCAAATACATTTGGAGAAACAGAAATTTTAAAAAGTTCAAAATAAAGACACAAATGTTTTAATGTAAAAAATAAGTATGTTAAAGCCAGATAAGCAAACTTGATATTTACAGTATTCTAGATAAAATTCTAAGAAGACGTATGAACAAATCTCACTTCCTTGCAACTCTTTACACGGAAGTGAGATTTGTGATATATTTGCCATCAGTAGCAATATCAGCTACAGATAGTAGTTATGGTTACACGCCAAAAGGATTGTTAGTGTACACTTTAAACACTGCAAACCCCAAAAAAGTAGCAGAACTTTAAAAAAATAAAACTTAAGGCAACCTATTGCCTTAATCTGCATGATTTCAGATCTGCTTTAACAGACTCGTCCTAAACGAATGAGTGAGAGTGATCACAAATGAATCGGCTAATTACAAGATGATTTTAGGACAAATCACCTCTCCAATTTCTCGTCTTCATCATAATCTTCATCAGAAAGGTGTTTACACTACTTGTAAAACAGAGGATTCTGCAAAATGTCATGATACTTTAATGTGTTTAAACATGAAAAGATGTTGGAGATTGAGCTAAAGGCAGGAAGGAGAAAAGGCAAAATATGAAAAAAAATCTGAACAAAAGGTCGGTTGGCTGTTTTTAAAGCTTGCAATTGATGCAGATGCTTTAAATGCCCCCAATAAATTCACTGCAGTAAAGTCTTTTTTAATGTTTACAATGTTTATTGTTTAATGTTTGAAAAACAAATCAGAATCTAAATCAATCCAGCTGTTGTATCAAACTAAAGACTAATATATTTAATGTTTGGGGTCAAATTGATCCCAGAATTTAAAACCTTACAAAGATCTCTGCCACGGGGTGGGGCGATCGTGGCTCAAGAGTTGGCGGTTCGTCTTGTAATCGGAAAGTTGCCGGTTCGAGCCCCGGCTCGGACAGTCTCGGTCGTTGTGTCCTTGGGCAAGACGCTTCACCCGTTGCCTACTGGTGGTGGTCAGAGGGCCCGGTGGCGCCAGTGACCGGCAGCCTCGCCTCTGTCAGTACATCTCAGGGTGGCTGTGGCTACAACGTAGCTTGCCATCACCAGTGTGTGAATGTGTGGATGACTGGATATGTAAAGTGCTTTGGGGTCCTTAG